CTCAGGGTACCACAGACTCGAAAGTTAGAACTACATACTGAACAAATAGTACCTTGTGAAAGTACAGCTGAAGAGAATTCATTTTTTTTTTTTTTCAAATCAAATCACTGGTTTATTGTCCCTTTTGCAGTCGGAAGACTGAATTGTAGGATACCTTACGAGCTGTGATATTATTGACAAGATTGATATTTAAAACTAACAAAATCTGAGAAACGTTCAGTCCTTGTGGCCATGTGCCTGCTATAGAACTCCCTGATCTTAGTAGATATAGGTACCACTCTGTTGTGTATAAGTGGGTATAACGGGTTACCTGGCCAAACCTTACCTATATTTGAATGATCCCATTATAATTATAAGATTTCATCCAGAAAGTCAACAGATGGAACAAAGTAAGGTATGCCTCATAGTTTTTTTTTTGTCGTTTGATACACTGTAATCACCAGGTACTAGTTTTCATTGATTCGCACCCCTCAAAATCTCACTAGAACTTCACTCATAGATGTTCGATTATAATCAACAGATGGAACAAAGTAAGGTATGCCTCATAGTTTTTTTTGTCGTTTGATACACTGTAATCACCTGTAATGCGGTAGCCGTCATTAGTATAATTCGATTGTATGATCTTAATATCTCTGCATAACGGCATTCTTAATTCTATAGAATTTTGAACTTTTATTATTAATTATATCTATTTCCTCTTCCTTTATGTAAGGTTAAGTTACTTCTATCTTTAAGAATTTGTAAATGAATAGTTTTTTTTTCTTTCTTCACTTATTATATATAGGATTGTTTTTGTTCTCTAATGAAGGAATTGTAGATAGTGTTTTGATGAATTAATTAGATTTTTTGTAACAGCAGGTTGATTGTAAATAGGATTTTAATTGAGGTTTTGTAATAAAGATTTTAAATTATATTATTATTATTATTATTATTATTATTATTATTATTGTAAGAAGAAGAACAAGAAGAAGAAGAACGCCTAGTGTTTAAACGCGCTTCATTACCATTGTTCAATTTGAGTAACCAGTAACCACACTGAAATAAGTTGGTATTTCATAAACCTGTCATGGTTTGCCACATGAACAAACATGAAGAGTTTAGTGTTATCGAGGTACCCCCATTCAGTCCCTCTTCTCATGCATTATTATACCTAATATTTTATAAACATGATAGCGTGCTTATTTAGAAATTTTAAACTTTAGAGCATTCTTTTAAGAAACTGTAGTCATTCTTTGTTAGCTTGTTTCAGGTTCTCAATCGCGACGAGCAAAAAATTAGAGCAAAAAAATAATAATAAAATAGGAAGCGAAGGCGGCCCACTGTGGCTCGTCAGTAGTCCTCCTAGCCTGCGAGCAGGTGAAGCGAGCCCCGAGAACGCGCGAGCAAGCGGCGAAGCTGCCAGGGCTTTCCCTTCGCGTGCGCCTCTCGGGTGAATTCTCGCGACTCCTCCAAATGGAAGGCTATAGTTTTCCCGCTTCCTCCAAAGGTTTTTACAAGGCTGAGCGGGGCGCAAGGACTCGCGAGAAGCGCGAATGGGGTGTGATGGGAAAAAGCGGTGAACAATGGGAAGTGGTGAAGAATGGGAAGGAAAAACAGACGGAGAAGGAAGATGCCTCGCTCGCTTATTGTTACGGATGCTTTAGGCCCTATGATTTGTCAGCGAGATCTGTGGGTCAACTCATACGCTACGTCTTCCCAGCCGATATTTCTTCTTAAACAAGCTCACCCATGCTAAAAGAATTAAAGTACGCTTATAATTGGCCAATTCAATCTAAATTGATAATCATATATCCTAATCTGTCTGTTTATTTTTAAATCAAACATGCACCACAATCAGATCATCTGTAGCTACCATTCCTTGTTATATCGTCAAAGTAAAGAAAAAGTGAATGCATACATTACCTGTACGTGGACTTTTTGGTGTTAAGTCAGCTCTTAAAGTTTTTGCGATGGTCTCTCTTGTACTAAATTGTAAAATTCATAATTGCTCCCGTTATAACGCTGCTTGCATGGGTAGATGACCTTTTAGCATGTTCAATGAACAAGTGAAATTTACATTGAAGGCAACATTTCCCAACTGAAATTGTCTATTTAACAATTGTCCCAAACTTATTCATTTGTTAAAAAAGTCGTCTCCTAGGAAACGAATGCTCCCGCAGGTTGAATATAAGACGCTGCGTTTTTTCATGGAACTTTTCGTTGTTGGGTAGCATGGCTTTTGTTTTGTATCGATCAATTTGAATGAAAATGCGCCAAAAGATCTTAAAAGGTAGTTTATGACCTTAAAGTATTTTTCATGTCTTTATCCTATTTATTTATTTTCTCCATTTATTTTATATTACAGGGCATTTATATCATATTACAGATTTGAAGATGAGAAGTGCGAGATATGGTAAAACTAATTACATGCCCTTTGATTAAATTACAGTTTTATTTTAGGATAAAAGAGAAAAAATAGAAGTATATGGAGTATGAAATATATGAGAGAGAGTAAAAAAGGTAAGTACCCTAAAAATATAGAACAGTAAGGGTTGATGTGGCGATGATTAATACTGAGCAATTTAACAGTACTATAGGGCTATTTAAACAACTTTTAGTTGTCTTTTCACGTCATAGATAAAGGAATATCATTCCAATAACAACATCTTAACTGCTGGACATAATTTTCTTATATTTATCCCTAAGCTACTGAAATTTAGGTGCTGCAAGGATGCACTTGTGGTGTCATAAAAATGACCGGTTACAAGAGAGTAATTCCCTATAAATAAAGTAATGCCAGCCTTGTGGGCCAGTTATTAATACAGAGTTTAAACGATGTTTAACATTAAGGGTACGTTCGATTGCCGGTATTCCGAATAAGAATAAACCGAAAGAACTGTAGAAATCACTTACTTTGGCGTTCATTTCATTGCAATATCTAGAGCTCTGCTTGAAATAAAATATATCTTTGCAGGGGCACCCAACGACAATTTTCGGAAGAATATCTGTTCGGAAGACGATTTGAGATCTAGAATTTTCGAAACATTTGTTGTAAAATTTCTTGCTTGCCTGTCTCTCCTAGGATTTTCGAACATCTAAAAAATGGTAAAATTGCCCATTTCTAACGGATTTTTACCCTAAAAAGGTCACCTAGAATTTTCGGGAGCCTTTTTTCTGGCTGAAATTTTCGAAAAGGTAAGTTTTTATCCCTATATAAATTTTCGGATCACTAGACTTTCAGCTAGGAAATCCGAACAGATGAAAAATTTTTAGGGGATGAAAATATACCTATAAATATATACTAAAATGCGTTTAACAATGCTATGTTTAAGTGGTTTTGAACTATATTCTCGTTGGGTGCCCCTGTCTTTTTGTATTTATGACGTTTAATTGGCTTTTAAATTACGCGACAAGAGATTTGAAAAAAAACCTTTGCGCTTTCTTTAATATTCCGGAATATGATCAGCGGAAGGCACTAATTCTTTTAATGTGGACATCCGTCACTTTTAAACATCGTTTGCAGTTATACCCTGTTTACATGGAGTGGGGGACCCCGGTTTAGTGGGGTAGGTTTCTTTTGTTTTGTGTCCCCCAGAGCGTGAAAACAAAAGAAACCAACCCCACTAGACCGGGGTCCCCTACTCCATGTAAACAGGCCCTTAAAAGCTGAGTGTCAAGAAGGCCCTTAAGCCAAACTATGGGGTTTCATTTTTGTACTAATAAACACCTTACATAAGGTGGATTTTAAGAGCCCATTTTTATCTAAGTTAGATTTCTTTGAAGTAAAAGGCTCGTACCCCGGCTTCAGTACATTATAGACTTCTAACTAACTAACTAACTAACTAACTAACTAACTAACTAACAGAAAAGAAGTAGTTTATCTTGCCCCACACGATACAACACTACACGTTGCTAGGCAATCTTTCTAAGTGTTAGCAATTGCTTTTGTGCATACGTGAAAGTTAATTCAATTTATTGTCAAGCTTCGTGTCCCGGATATTCGTATACATGTATGCACATGCGAAAAGCATTTATCGCTTAATTATGCTATCGTATTGTAATCAGCAAACTTCTCATGTCCTTGCCATATTTATTCCACGGCAGTCAATTCAAATTTGTTTATTCTACAATTTTACGAAATGGATGATAGTTTTCACATAGGTTATTAGAAACAATTGACAATTGCGAGAGGTATGATTGTGATTTGCATAAAAAAGAGACCGGCTACCTCAAGTTAAACTGGGTTGTCTTAGGAAAGGTGATATTTTTCGCGAAAAGTGATAGAGTGATAGTTTAAAACCTACATTTTCCCTGATGCACTGCCCAAGGAAAAATTGTTAGTATTTGGATAGTACTATCTAAAACTCTGTGTGAAAGTCACTAATTTATCCTCAATGAATACCACCAATTTGACGCATGACAAAAGGTGAAAAGTTCGGAGTACCCTCACATTCTCTCTTTTTTTTTCCATCTTCTCTTCTTTTCTTTTCTCTCCTTTGTTTCACGTCCTTTTATGTCCCTGTCGCTTCTCATCTACCTACTTAATAGAGGTGATTGTTGTGGTTCAATTACATAAACTACGATTGATCAGCACAACGAATAATAAAACTTCATTGGATCAGTTCTCAGTGCCAGGGCTGCCATTGCCATTATCTTTTAGTCATCATCGTTGTCATCATCACCATTCGTATCATCATCATCGTCGTCACTATCGTCATCGTGATCATCATCATCATCATCGTCATCATTATCATCACTGATATGCGGGGCGCGAATTTGCTGGTTAATACACCCCCAGGAATACTATTGGCTGTTCGAAAATGTCATGACTTCTATCTCTGTCGTAATGATTCTGGTAATAATCATCAGCTTCCTCGTCGCTCTAATAATCATTATCATCATCAGCAGCAGCAACGTCACGACCATTATCATCATCGCTACCTTCATCATCACAAAAACTATCATCATCATCATCATCATTATTATCAACAACAACAACATCACCATCATGACTATTTACATTAGACGTATTGCTCATCCGTCCTTTCTGGGGATTTCTCAGCAGCTTTATCGCAATCGTTCGCTCTTTCTACCAGCAAAGAAGGCATCCGTGATCTCCTCCTCTCGAATAAGGATTTCAGCGCCGTTTTAAAATCTCTTCTGAAGAATGTATACAGCACAGGATTTATGATAGAAGTCGTATATCTGACGAGAACAAAAACGTGCGATGGAATTCTTAACTCATCCCCATTGTAGGATATCCTAAACAACAACATCAGAACATACCATGGTAACCAACAGACCAGGAATATAGTTGCCATGGAAGCGAAGAGTATCAAGCACCTTTTTTCAAGAGCAGCTTGCCTGGCTTGTCGACTGGACCTCTGTTTTGAAGGCTTCCTGCAGTGGGATCTGCCTTGCTTTGAAATAGCCAGAAAAATCACCACAAACGCGTATATCATGAATGAATAAGGCAACAGGAAGACTGTAATTAGGCAAAATATAACATGTCCGATGGACAAGTTTGTTTGTAGGGCTTTATCCGCTATGTTCACCCAGGCAAAGGGGATAAAAGCCACAATAACAGACGCTACCCAAACAGCAACCAGTGCTTTGATGACTGTCTTCTTTTTTATCAGGCGATGAGTCACTGGCCAGATTATCGACAGGTATTTCTCGGTTGTCGCAGCGAGGATATGATAGCAGGCCGATATTGCGGTCAGATTGTTGAGAACGACGACCAGAAACCCCAAGTAAAACTTCAACTCCGAAGAGGTTATGACCGGTGTGAACGCCACTAAGATCAACACTGGAATGTTTATAACCCCAGTGGTAAGATCGCAAACAGCAAGGCTGAAAAGGACGTAGTTTGGCCGTGTACGAAGCTCTTTTCTTTTTGCAAATAAAATGAAAACCAACCCGTTTGCGATGACAATTAGTAGCATAATAGGAAGGAGCTGAGCGATAGCCTCTCCATCAACCTCGTTCTCATTGACGCGGCCTGCCTGGACACTTGGACTGGTGTGATTTGACATCTCTGTGACTACAGGCAGTCAATGTACAAGTTATAGTTTGTCTTGTTGTGTTATATCTCGTAGTGTTTTCAGGGAACCTGAAAGGGGTGAATGGAATTAATAAAACTGTATCACACTTTTATGCTATATCACAGTTCTGGATGGTTATTAAAAACTTGTTTCATTAGCATAAAGTTTTAGCTCTAGCTTGCTAATGATACAAAACTTTTAAACGATGACTGAGGTTTCATTTAAATTGTTCAAACATTGTTCTCCAAGGTTGTTCTTGCTTCAGCGTTTTGTTATCCATTTTAAGCTGTAGTTATAAAGGTGGCTCGAACTTATTTGTTAGCGTGTTTTTGACGTTTCTAAATCGTACCATGCCAGTGGAAAGATTTAAAGATTTTGTCGACTCCCTTGATTTTTGGTATCCCAAGCGAAGATTGGCGACACTTTAAGCAACTATTATTAATTTCCTCGTGGGTATAAAAGCGTCCGAAATGTCATTATATTTTAGCACCGTATGTTCCCTTTCTAATGCGAAATATTAAAGCAACCAATTCCAGCATATAGATTAATTTGTTTATCATCTCCTTGTTCAAATATGGAATATCATTACATATTCACTGGCACTTTAAGTACATGTACATTTGAATTTTTTTTCCATTCTCGTTATCCCCGAGTGGCAAACCTTCCGAGCAAATGAAACCAAACCAAAGATCTTGAATATAGATACAGATCTCAAGGACCAAAGCCATTTTCGGCATTGCAGCTAAAAAGTGGTTTGAAATACTGCCACTGGTGGCTTTATATCGTCTCCAAAAGGGATCCTAAGGTGATAAAAACTGGTAAAAGCCTTCGATCCGTAGATGACATATTTTGCTTAAAAAAAAATCTTTTAAAATAAAGGAACAACGATGATGCAAAGTCAGATCAGGAAGAGATAAATAATTTAACTCTGCATGTAGCAATAAGTTCTTCTTGTAGCGCTCACTGTGTTCGCTGTAGGCACAGGTGCCACAAGCGAAATATGACCGTAACGTTCAGAATGTAAGGATTTGTATGAGAGAAAAAACACTTTTGTTACTTCCATGGGTGTATATGCACTCCGCTACTTTTTCGTCAACAAACGCAACATTTATTTTAGCATAGCATTAGTTATAAGTTAGAAATGACCAGCGTTATGTTTAGCGAGATTTGTGATGATGTTTTTCAACTGTTTTTTTTTTCTCATTTAGAGTACCAAAATTGCAGAAGCAGTTTAATCACATTAAGTTTGTAAGTAACAATTGTGTTTTTATAATATAAACACCAATGAAATACCAGGTGAGCTTTCGCGCGAAAACATGAAATCCTATCTTCAAACTTGAAAATAACGGGCGCTCTCCATTCAGCCCAAAATTCCGGAAATTTTCGGTTAGAAATCAAATGGAACGGACCATTTCGGTTTGGTCCGACCAGAATGTATATTTGGGACCACCTTTTAAGTTCACTTTGACCGCCTGGTCATTTCGGTCGGTCGGACTGAAATGTCCCTTTTTCATTTGACAAAATTGTTGTTCCCAGTATCGCTCTTCTGTATCCTGAGTACAAGAACAATAACCAATTTCATTGGTGTTTATAATTATAATTAATAGAAGGTTACATGGCCGCTTCGAGATACGAAATTTCTCTTTTCGTGCGCTCACTCGTGAAATATTTTTCAACACTCGAAGACTGAAATTTCGTACCTACGTGTTATCCTTCATGTAATATCTTTTTTTTTGGCCGAAATTTCGAAATTTTGGATACCGCAGTCAGTCAGGACATAAATCCCTTGCACCTTGAAAATCCATAGTTAACCTCTCTTCACTTTCAAGATGGGAAAAACAAAATAGATAGTTTCTTTTGAACGCTCAAAAAAATTTTGAAGTGGTATCTTGAGAACGTACTGCTAAAGAAGTTTGGTTTAAATGGTCACACTAGAGGATTTCACCCCGAGACTAAGACGTTAGATTGACATACTAAACCAACAGTACTATATCAAAGTACCGCTGAAGAGGTTTCGTTTGGATAGTAACACCATAGAGCTTCAGATCTGGGTAGTGCTTCTGATTGGTTGAATCAAATTTCCCACTCTGCACGGCCAATCAGAAGCACTACCCAGATCTGGGTAGTGACGCGTCATCAGTATGGAATTTCTGCTCGTTTCTCAGACGTCATTTGGCGGGGAAACCAGTGGTAGCGTCTCGAAATGTTGGCTGTTTTCTCAGGCTACCACAGGCTCAAAAGTTAGAACTACATACTAAACTAATTATAAGTACTTACTTCTAAAAGTACAAATAGTACAAATAGTAGTTACTTCTAAACAAATAGTACCTTGTGAAAGTACAGCTAAAGAGAATTCATTTTTTTTTTTTCAAATTAAATCACTGGTTTATTGTCCCTTTTGCAGTCGGAAGACTGAATTGTAGGATACCTTACAAGCTGTGATATTTTTGACAAGATTGATATTTAACACTCACAAAATTTGAGAAACGTTCAGTCCTTGTGGCTATGTGCCTGCTATAGAACTCCCTGATCTTAGACACACACTGGTAGATATAGGTACCACTCTGTTGTGTATAAGTGGGTATAACGGGTTACCTGGCCAAACCTTACCTATATTTGAATGATCCCATTATAAAATTTCATCCAGAAAATCAACAGATGGAACAAAGTAAGGTATGCCTCATAGTTTTTTTTGTCGTTTGATACACTGTAATCACCAGGTACTAGTTTTCATTGATTCGCACCCCTGAAAATCTCACTAGAACTTCACTCATAGATGTTCGATTATTATTATTATTATTATTATTATTATTATTATTATTATTATTATTATTATTATTATTATTATTATTATTATAAGAAGAAGAAGAAGAAGAAGAACGCCTAGTGTTTAAACGCGCTTCATTACCATTGTTCAATTTGAGTAACCACACTGAAATAAGTTGGTATTTCATAAACCTGCATGGTTTGCCAGTTTTTCTCTTTGCACTTTCTTCTCTCTCCCCTCTCTCCCCTCCCCTCTTTCTTTTTAAAGCAATTTCTTCATTATACATTAGGATTAATGGATTAAGAAAATCTTGACGGAAGCATTTCAATATTTGTTAAGGAAACAATGTTGCATCCTGCGCCTTCGCTATGGGCTCCTAAAATGGGCCATTAATTTACTCGGAGTTCTTTCATCTCGAAAGCAACGCACCTGGCCATTGCATTAAGGCCGATTTAAGAGAATCCTTTGTAAATTACCATACTGTGACATACCTTAAAGTCTGCGAAATTACTTAACTTCCCTACAGTAATCCGTATTTGCTTGGTATAACATGTATCTATATGGAAAACAAAAATAAAGTAAAACGACGAATTTCCGAAAACAGCCTGGGAAGTGCATCATATTTGGCCAAGAACTTCCAGAAAAAAATATACGAAACGAAAACAACATAACAGAAACAAAAAGGCTGGAAATCTAAGTAAAACTGCAGATTTCTTTGTTTTTCTTCTTCTTCTTCTTCTTCTTCTTCTTCTTCTTCTTCTTCTTTTTTCTTTTTCCAAAAAAATTATATATGTATATGATATACATTATGAGAATTATTTGAGTTGTGAAATCATTATCTACTAGAAAACCGTTTGCGCAAGACGCCTGCTGCTTTGTCGCCAGTTGGTCTCACGATCAAATTATATGGCAACCTTCAGAAAAAATAAATATATCGAAGGCCGCGGAATTCGAACTCATTGAATTTTTTACCTTAAGGCTAAAATAGTGTATTTGAGTATCAGTAACTTACGAAGATTTTTCACGAACTAGTTTTAACTAGCGCTTTGTTTATTTTTGCACGATATAAGAACTCTCATAAGGCGTTTTCTCTCGCCGAATTGCTTTCGAGTACACTTCAACGTATGTTAATCATTATTAGAATAAAGTTTCAGCTTTGCTGAAGTATTAAATGTTCTGAAAAAAAAAAAGTGAACAAGAAAATAAACGATACGATAACAGCGACCAGGAAAAAAATTGGATAAGATTATAAAATATACAGGATTATAGAACTGATATGAGATTTGAAATTGGCAGTTTTTCTCTATAATACCAATGTCGTTCTAGTAATTAAGTCGTTAAAGGCTCGTGGACAAGCAGCTTAACTAGCTTCAGCTACCATTAAAACTGTAGATTATGAGCGTTGATGAAAACCAGCTCGGTTGTGGACGCACTGTCGAATTCGCGATTTTTAAATGTGCAATGAAATGAAAATCTATAAACTATACGTACGGACGCTTTCTTGTTTCCTAATTCCCTAAATGAACAGAACTACTTGAACTAAAAACTAGGAATTGAAGGAAATCGTTCTACCTGGAATTATGGCATGACCTCTACTTCGACGCGAAACAACCCGTGCGGAAAACGTCTTTTTCCTGCCGCTTCAGCGTGCCAGTCACTTTCAATTCTCTATAATGCACAGTATAATCCCTAAAAAATCCATTCTTCTTATTTGCATTTTACTAATCTACCAGTCACATAAATAGAACCATATGACACTACCAAATGAATTCTAATTCTGCGGTCGATATCTGAAGGGATTATATTCATTATCGTTACTGAAGATATGATTTTCAAGAATGTTCTGAAGGATGAAAGAGGTCTCAAAACACTGAAAGGTGATTTTCAAGTATTCTGGGCTAACTATTCCTTATCTAATCTTCTCGATCGGTAAAATAAATGCTATTGAGTTTTTTATTTGTACCATTAACAAATCTTGATTTTGCCACGTGTTAATTGACTCTATTCTGTTATCAGTGTCTCTTCACCTGTTTGGCGTTTCCTACTTTTTTAATCTTGCATAATTTATCAGTTAAAAGGGCTTTTACCCTAGCAAAAATATTTCATTTCATTTCACTTCATTTTATTTCATTTTATTACGTTTTATTTCGTTTTATTTTAGTTTATTATTTATTTTATTTTATTTTTTATCTGTGCATTTAATGTAATGGTAAGTTCAATTGTTCACTATAGTGCAGTTATCTTGCTTAATCGCAATTACTACAGTAAGTGGAAAATATGGTTAGGTCTAATGGCCTATTTCCAAGTTTTTCAACGCCTCTGTTTCAAAGCGAGGCTAAGTGCAAAGCTATTGATAACAACAACAACAATAATAATGATAAAACTTTATTATACATTATTTACATATTTTTTTTTATCTCTCGATAAACTACAAATGGCCCTCGGAAAAAAAAATTAAAAAAAAAACAAAAATCAATCAAAAAACTATGATTCATAGGCGAGATTTTGAAAATAAACTTACTAAGGAATTGCTAAAGATTGTCCATTACAATTTACAAACTTCAGTTCGCTTAAGTTTGTTTTCAAAAGACGTCACGGTAGACTTCCATAATTCCTCAAGAAGACTGTTCCACAAACTTGCAGCACTGATTGGAACCGATATCAGATGAGCGCTGTCCGTATGATTGTTTAATTCTGGGCAACTTTAAATTTCTTTCACTGCTTCTTGTTCCCTTGCAACAGACTGCGCTGAATCTTAAAAAACCTCTCTGCAGTGTAGCTTGGCAGCAGACCATTTAATACCTCAAAAAACCATCTTTGCCTTTAGTTTCGCCACTCGCTCTTGAAATGGGAGAATGTTAAGATCGCTGAGTAGAGCCGTAGAAGGATATAAAAATGATATTTATTCTCATGCTGAATAAAACTCATTTTCAAGAAAGAAAGGTTTTGCACCTAGCCTCGTTTTGAAAGCGAGAGTTTTCGGAACTCGGAAATGGTCGGCCGTTTACCACTCAGGGTGCAAGGTGCTTAAGTCGTGCACGTTTATTTAACATGTCCTCAGATCGAGGAGGGTCATTTAGTATCGTCCATGCGCATATAAAAGCCCTGCTTAATCTAATTAAACTTTCATATCACGCTAAGCCGGATACCATAACTGTTCGCTCAAAATATTTCCAAGCTAAAAGCATGCATGTTTATCGTTAATAGTTCACGCCCTTATAAAATAACGTAATATTATTTTCCTGTTCTTCGGCAGTTTCAGAATATAGTAATAGTGCATTTCCGAGTTCGCTATGACCGCTGACTTAAAGAAGTGAAGACGCATTTTTTACAGCCTTAGCCTCTATCTGAAGTAGTATCTTCACAAATTCCAACGAGAAAAAGACCTGTTTATTACTCTTTCTATTGTGTATATTCAAATTTCAAACACTTACTTGCCAGAATTTCTGAATATTTTACTTTACGTCGAGGCTAACCCTGTATGAATGTGTCGTTAATTTTTGTATTCAGCGGTAATTTTTAATTCGAAACTGGACTATTGAGATGTTTTTTTTTTCGCAGATTTTTTGCATAAAGCAGTTATCATCTGTTGGAGTGGGTTTTTTGCTTCGTCGCGGTTTTTAATCGAAAGACACAACAAGCGGTAAGCAATTGCTTAGTCTTTATAATACAGTCAAACCTCGCTTTTCGGACACCTCATTATCACGGACGGTTTGCTTTGTCCCTGGGGGAAAAAAGGCCCTACATTTTCTCCCGGGGGCGGGGCACCCCCGGGCATTTTCTCTAACTTCATCCCGCTTTAAAATACGGACTCCTTGTTAAAACGGAGACTTTCTATGACCCCCTTAGTGTCCGTATTAACGGGGTGTGACTGTAGTTGAGATATTTCGTCTTTGCATGCATAAGTTGTGAAATGTTTCGTCATTTTCCCCTGCCCTGCATTACCAAAGAAGCCGAGCCGCCTCGCCGTTCCGTCGGTATCTACAACAAAGAACTGACAAAATAATCTGCGTATTCGTTCATACCCCTGATTACCCCGGCTGAATGGTGATCTTCTGTAAACGTTAAAACAGAACCGCAAATGCACATAAATACTTCAGTCAAATGTATTATATTTAACTGTTGTCAGTGATTTAAGAAAAGTGATTTTAAAACGCCGCATGCATCGGAAAAGATAAAAATATAAAAAACGCCGCGGCGTTTAATCGAATAAACACGGTAAGACAGAAAATATCAATCTGAACGGGCTTTTTTCATTTAACTGGCTCTAATTTAGATCATTTTGGCTTTGCTTTGAAGCTTTTTTGGAAATGAACCCTTTGCATTCATTGGCGTGCTTAAACAAACCATCCAATCCGATTACGTTGAGGGGACAATGAATTTCAACATATGTACAGGTTATATCCGCCCAATCAAAAACAGGGTTGAGCATAGTCAAGGATTAAAATGATTGGCTAATCCCTGGGCTAATCCGAGGCCGCTTGTTTCAAGCAAAGAGGCAAATACCCGGCATTGTATAAATCCAAATTATCCCTTTCATAAAGCATCATCTGCCGCGCACATGAAAGATTTCCATAAAACTACTGAAGCGCTTTAGCTTCGTCGGCTCCCACGGACACTTAAAAAAGCTTCGAGTTGTAACTTCTCACTTTTCGATCCATTTCTCATTTTTCCAACATTTCCTTGTACCACATTATTCATTTATCCTTAGACACAGTCACGTTTGAATTACTCAAGCGACTCATTTCGAGTGCATATGATGTATTTTAACATTATACACGGTTCGGTTATCGACACTTCGTTCCTCGGCTGTTACGCTTGAGTTGCAAGCTATCTAAGTGCAGTAAAAAAGGTAAGTTTTCTCATTTTTGAGTTTCTGATGTTCCCGAAATTTGTATTTTAGATACTTTTTGCGGCTACCATTGTTTCCCTAATGCATATGTTATCACCAGAACGTTAGCCATTCCAAGTGAAAATGCTGTTAATTCGGAAATGTTAGCGAAAAGCGATGGCAGAATTTTGATGAAATTTAGATTGCAAAACAACATTGCGCAAACATTTGAGAAAGCTTGAGAAGCGTTTTTAACAGCTACTTCTAGAGCCAGTGACCAGTGCTCTCCGTGAATTGAGAACGAATACAACTTATGTAGACTCTCGCAATAAAAAATTAAAACCATAAATCAACAGAATTAGAAATGTGCAGGATATTGTAAATGTTTGGCTCAACTCGGTGAAAGGTAGTATAAAGTGAACCAGAAGACTTAAAATTACTTTAATTTTGTCCTCCAGAAAGCATCAGTTTTTCAGTTATAAATCGAGTAAGACGTGCTATGACATTTTTTCCTTCATGATCATGAGTTAACAGGATATTTAAATATATAGGCCTTGTATAATTGGAAGGATATAACTTATAGTCGCTTCGCTTGGTGAAATAATGGACTCGTACAAAGTTTACTATATCTCTCGTCGTAGTCTTCAAAAAGGAATTACCAATTGTAATTCTTCAAAGATATGGTAGACATGTAATCTTCCAATTTTTTTTTGCTTTTGGGATTGAAAACATTTTAGTCTTTGCTTCTTTTTGGCTTTGGTAATGGATATTCAAGTATAATTATATTGACACCTGCACCGATATAATGAGCTTCATGCTACTGATGACTAACATGAAAGTAGTTGAAGCGGAAAAGTTCATTTCGCGTTTTGTGAACATCAATGAGAAGAAATTATAGACTGGAACATTTCAGCTAAGTCGCTTACCTTTCATCAGTCGAAAATTAGCCTGCGAACGGGCTCTCTGTTTGGGGAAAGGCCGAAGGCCTGTTTTCAGGCTAGCCGAAAATGAGTTCATGACTACATCGTAATCAGGTGTCAGTAGGACGGTCACGTGACAGGAGAATTGCACAGGATAAGATCCCAACCCTACACACTTGGATCCTGATTATGTGGGAGAAACCGTTAGGGCTCTTGCTACCAGGTCGAAGGAGCACCTCAGCTAGAGGTATCCTGTTCCAGGCCCCGGGGGGGGGGGTACTCCCATACATTACCTATATGGGTATGTGCCGCCCAACGGGGTCGTGATTTTGAAGCTCCTGATATAGAACGGGGTATCCATTTCAGAGGCGTTTTCTAGAACAGGGTATAAAAAATTGGGGATCACGGCTTTATCTTCTGCTTAAAATTGTTGCTGATTATGAAGAAGCATTTATTTGATGTACAAGTCGAACAAATAAAGAAATATCTTTTTAAAAAAACAGGGCTATTTCAATTTTTAAACTCTCTAGAAAGGAGAATAAAAAATTGGCCCATTTCTAGAACGGGGTATCAGTTTTAGGGGAATTTATTTTTAGAGCGGGGTGCCAATTTAGAGTCCCGAGCGACACATACCCACCCAAAAAATACCCAAGTGCCCCCCCCCCCCCGGGTCCAGGCGAAACTAGCGGTCAGTCCATCACACCTGATACCGTGTAGGTTACACTCGCGGTAGACTACACTCCTAAAAGGAAGATCATCACCAAAGAGAAAATACTTTGTTCTTTTATCAAGTTCACTCAACTGTTTCTTCACGGAAATTCGTGGAGATCAGCGTGTTTTGTCGATGGAAGACCGGAACGGAAAAACCTCTGCGTTCGCTGGCTATCGAATGATTAGCCGACCGATAGATTGGTTGAAAAAATATATGGGTCGATTGATTGATCGATCGATCGATCGATCGATCGATCGATCGATCAATCGATTCAATCGATTGATTGATTGACTGACGTACTGTTTATTTGATTGATTGACTGACTTATTGATTGATCGATTGATCGATCGATCGACTGATTGGCTGATTGATTGATTGATTGATTGATTGATTGATTGATTGGTTGATTGATTGATTGAACGGACGGACGAACGAACGAACTTGGTCGGCTGACTGACTCTTTGATTGATTCTTGATTGATTGATTGTTTGATTGATTGATTGCAGGATACGCCCAATCAAGTGAGAAATAAATCAAAGAAGACTTCGAGGTGCTTAAGATGATGAATATTTCAACTGCGACAGTGTCACCAAACATCCCAAACGCAAAAGGAGTAAACGGCCAAGCAATCGCACAACTTCTCCCTTTAGCCTTGCTGATCATCGTTGCAAATGGCTTGGTTTTGATTTTATTTTCAAAGAGAAGGGAGCTTCACACACCACCAAACTACGTACTTTTAAGCTTAGCTATTTGTGATCTAATGAACGGGCTTGTAAACATCCCACTTTTCATCATCGTTGCGTTCACACCAGTCATCACCTCTGGTGAGGTAAAGTTTTACCTGGTTTATCTAGTTGGCGTTCTCCACCATCTGACTGCGATATCCGCTTGTTATCACATTCTTGCAGTGACCACCGAGAAATACCTGGCAATAATATGGCCTGTAAGACACCGTTCGATAAGCGTAAAAAAAGTTGCAATAGTACTTATAATTATTTGGCTGGTGTCCGTCATTGTAGCATTTATTCCTTTTTCTTGGCTTCACCTGGAATTCAGAGATATTCAAGCAAAGTTCTCGCTGGCGCATGTTGCACTTTGTCTCGTAGCAGTCTTTCTGCTGCCATATTCATTCATGATTTACGCTTTTGTGGTTATCTTCAAAAAGATTTCAAGTCCAAGCAAAATCAAAGACAATGTTTCTTCAAGGCCACACATAAGTCGTCGACAAGCTGCTGCCGAGAAAAGGTGCTTGATATTGTTTGCTTTAATGGCGACATTTTTCCTGGCCTGTTGGCTGCCATGGTTTATCTTAACACTGTTCCATAGGATCAAACACGAGATCAAAGTGGATAATTTGGAAATTCCCTCGCATGTATTCGTTCTTGTCAGATACACTTCTTCAATCTTCAATCCTTTGTTGTACACTTTCTTCAGGCGAGATTTTAAAACGGCGTTGAAATCTTTTCTTAAAAAGAAAACCAACGAAGATTTTCCGATGTTGCCTCTTTTTTAGAATAAAACACTTAACGGACCAATTGCAAATCTTACCGACAGAGTTGTGAGAATTAATGAAATAATCACCTAAGCGAAAATGTTTTGATTTTAAACAAATAATCGCCCCATATAAGGGAATCCTAAACAAATAATCGCCTCATATATAGGAATCCTAAACAAATAATCGCCCCATATATGGGAATCCTAAACAAATAATCGCCCCATATAAGGGGATCCTAAACAAATAATCGCCCCATATAAGGGGATCCTAAACAAAGAATCGCCCAATATAAAGGAATCCGGATTTCAGAATCAAGGAAATTTTTGCCTGTGGAATGTAGATTCCCGGAAATTTTTGCTTGTGGAATACCGAATCCTGGACTTTGGAATCCGGAATACAGCTCAAGGAATCTGGAATGCCTCTATGATTGGGATCCGGAAGTTTCAATGACAAAGAATCTAAAATCCAGTTCGCGGAATGCAGAACCCATGGAGTGGAATCCAGAATCCAAGATTGTTAAGACTGAGTTTGCTCAACCTAGCGCGCGCCTCCTGGTCACATGGCCCTTTACACGTGTCACGTGGTAAAGAAATGCCTCGCTAAAAAGGAAGAGGCACATTGGGACAAATTCACTAGAATTAGTAATTTTGTAGCAAATGATCAGCTGTAAAAGTTAAAAAGTCCGTCCATTCAAACGCAATGCTTTGTGTCAGTAAGGGTGCTCATGTGGCCTTTTATTTTAAGTTCAATAACACGTCAAGTAAAATTGATCCACTCAAAGGTCTGTACAATTGTCTACTTAATTACACAACAAAAACACCGAAATTCGTACATTATTTGACACTGGTCATCCTAGGTAAGGTAAGGTAACGCCTTTATTTAAAGAGGGTAAACACGTGACAGTTATAAAAAAAACTGATAAACTTGTGGCCCTCAAAAACAACTAAACAACTTTTAACTACAAATTATTGATTAGAACATTTACTTGACAAAAGATTTTCTTTATAGTAGTGTGAACACATGTTCAGAGTCACTACAGAAAAACATACCGTAAATTTTACACATTAAAAACATTCGAAAAATCATGCAAAAATTCACAAATAATTATTGAACTAAGGACTGTAACTTGATTGAGTCACTTTTTGACTGAATGAAATCTTAGCTAGATATTTAAGGGAAAGGGTGGCAATCAACGAAAAATAATGCTTCTCACCTGACTGCCCTCTTAATTCAAGAAATATAAAACCTTTATTATGACTAAAGGCTTGGTTACCAATGGTGACATCGACCGTTAAAAATGGCAGTGACCTTTTACCAACTTGGGAAATTGCCGATCAGCTACACTAAAATGTTATCCGCCAGCGGCCTGTTATACATTACCTATATGGGTATGTGCCGCCCAACGGGGTCGTGATTTTGAAGCTCCTGATATAGAACGGGGTATCCATTTCAGAGGCGTTTTCTAGAACAGGGTATAAAAAATTGGGGATCACGGCTTTATCTTCTGCTTAAAATTGTTGCTGATTATGAAGAAGCATTTATTTGATGTACAAGTCGAACAAATAAAGAAATATCTTTTTAAAAAAACAGGGCTATTTCAATTTTTAAACTCTCTAGAAAGGAGAATAAAAAATTGGCCCATTTCTAGAACGGGGTATCAGTTTTAGGGGAATTTATTTTTAGAGCGGGGTGCCAATTTAGAGTCCCGAGCGACACATACCCACCCAAAAAATACCCAAGTGCCCCCCCCCCCCCGGGTTCCAGGCGAAGCTAGCGGGCAGGCCATCACACCTGATACCGTGTAGGTTACACTCGCGGTAGACTACACTCCTAAAAGGAAGATCATCACCAAAGAGAAAATACTTTGTTCTTTTATCAAGTTCACTCAACTGTTTCTTCACGGAAATTCGTGGAGATCAGCGTGTTTTGTCGATGGAAGACCGGAACGGAAAAACCTCTGCGTTCGCTGGCTATCGAATGATTAGCCGACCGATAGATTGGTTGAAAAAATATATGGGTCGATTGATTGATCGATCGATCGATCGATCGATCGATCGATCGATCAATCGATTCAATCGATTGATTGATTGACTGACGTACTGTTTATTTGATTGATTGACTGACTTATTGATTGATCGATTGATCGATCGATCGACTGATTGGCTGATTGATTGATTGATTGATTGATTGATTGATTGATTGGTTGATTGATTGATTGAACGGACGGACGAACGAACGAACTTGGTCGGCTGACTGACTCTTTGATTGATTCTTGATTGATTGATTGTTTGATTGATTGATTGCAGGATACGCCCAATCAAGTGAGAAATAAATCAAAGAAGACTTCGAGGTGCTTAAGATGATGAATATTTCAACTGCGACAGTGTCACCAAACATCCCAAACGCAAAAGGAGTAAACGGCCAAGCAATCGCACAACTTCTCCCTTTAGCCTTGCTGATCATCGTTGCAAATGGCTTGGTTTTGATTTTATTTTCAAAGAGAAGGGAGCTTCACACACCACCAAACTACGTACTTTTAAGCTTAGCTATTTGTGATCTAATGAACGGGCTTGTAAACATCCCACTTTTCATCATCGTTGCGTTCACACCAGTCATCACCTCTGGTGAGGTAAAGTTTTACCTGGTTTATCTAGTTGGCGTTCTCCACCATCTGACTGCGATATCCGCTTGTTATCACATTCTTGCAGTGACCACCGAGAAATACCTGGCAATAATATGGCCTGTAAGACACCGTTCGATAAGCGTAAAAAAAGTTGCAATAGTACTTATAATTATTTGGCTGGTGTCCGTCATTGTAGCATTTATTCCTTTTTCTTGGCTTCACCTGGAATTCAGAGATATTCAAGCAAAGTTCTCGCTGGCGCATATTGCACTTTGTCTCGTAGCAGTCTTTCTGCTGCCATATTCATTCATGATTTACGCTTTTGTGGTTATCTTCAAAAAGATTTCAAGTCCAAGCAAAATCAAAGACAATGTTTCTTCAAGGCCACACATAAGTCGTCGACAAGCTGCTGCCGAGAAAAGGTGCTTGATATTGTTTGCTTTAATGGCGACATTTTTCCTGGCCTGTTGGCTGCCATGGTTTATCTTAACACTGTTCCATAGGATCAAACACGAGATCAAAGTGGATAATTTGGAAATTCCCTCGCATGTATTCGTTCTTGTCAGATACACTTCTTCAATCTTCAATCCTTTGTTGTACACTTTCTTCAGGCGAGATTTTAAAACGGCGTTGAAATCTTTTCTTAAAAAGAAAACCAACGAAGATTTTCCGATGTGTTAACAATTGGGACAACGACCCTTAAAAAATGGAGTGTCCTTTTACCAAACTGGGAAATTGCCCAATCACTAAACCAAAATGTTATCCGCCCGCGGGCTGTTATTTATTTAGGGAAACCCGTTTCTTTTTGAGAGGAAGGATGGAAGTTTTTTTTATTCTCCCCCGCCCCCCCCCCCCCCCCGGCTTGCTCACTGCCGACGTGACAATCTTTGAGGGTCCGCTCGTAGCTTGTTGCTTAACATAAGTTTGAAAAGTTTTTCTTAGAGAAGAACCTATATAAAAAGATAGATAGATAGATAGATAGTTTATTTGCAACAAGCTTGCCGCTACTAAGCTGAATTGTGTATTTACAATATAATATATAATATAATATAATATAACAGAATCTTACAATAGTGAGTATAATAAAATGATAAAACAAAACGTGTTCCACTTGGCATGCTGATAGCTTGTCAATCCGCTTGGCGGTGTTTATTAGATCAGGTCAAAAACTCCTTCACGCGGCGGTGTTTAATCCTTTATTTGTATTGAGCGATTTTAAGTTGAGATGTTGTTGTTAACCATATATGCTTCGTGGGCTGGTTTTGGTTGTAGTGACGAGCCAGAGCCACCGAGTCTGTGAAAAAGAACAATAGCAGCACATTTCAACAATAAAACATGAATGAAATTATTGCTGAATTTAATCCACCCACTCAAAGGTTATTCTTCAATATTGCTTCAAGGCGATTTTAAAATAAAATCTCTTCTTTATTTTCAGTACTAGGAGAGATATTGTCACGGTTAACACGAGACAAAACATTTTTTAAAATACAAAAAAATGCTCTTTTCTCACTTTCTGTGCAACAAACGTTAAAATCGGTACCAAAAGAAGCCAAAACATCACTTGACACTAGAATCTCTCGCCAACTCTCGCTGACGACGACTTTGAAATGGTCATCATCTAGTAACGTTAACTACCTTAGCCAATCACAGCATAGGCAAACAACCAGATAGACCAATCAGCAAAAGGAAACTGGGCTTTGTTGTTGTTTTTATCACATGTTGAGTTGTATCAGTATTTTTTTCTTAAGACAGGAGCATTTAACTACAGCGCATATAAAATTGGCGACCCCCACCTATACAAACCTAAATAATAGTGAAAGACAGCCGAAAAGAAAGAATGATAAAATGTTGGGTTTAGTTTTAGCCTTGAGTCAACGCTTATTGGGCCTTGACTTCCAGTCCCTAATCAGGGACAAGAAAAGTTATGTGATAATTACCAACACAGTTTAGGATTTTTTTCCACCGAGCCGGACACAATAATATTTTTCTGCACAGGCGCTTTCATGGAATTTGCAATTTTAATGGTCCTTGCTTAGCGGCTAAATTGGAATTCGTTATTAAAACATCGTGCAAAAATCCCTGGCGTTCCTACCTGCAAAGAGCTACTCAGGAAAACCAAGCTAAAGTCTTGAATGTTAGAGGATTAAAAGAATAAGTCAATTAGTAATGATCAGAGGGTTAACATGTTAGCTTCACATTGGGGATTAAGTTGATTACCGTATTTACTCGAATAGACGCCGCGGCGTTTATTTCATTTTTCGCGATCCAGCTGCGGCGTTTATTCGAGGGCGGCGTCTATTCGGGGGCGGCGTTTATTCAAAAATGACTTTATTCAGTACTAAATATCGTACTACATATGGTAACTTTTTACTAGGTAACAGTAACAAATCTCAGTATATAAATGTCGTATATATATATATAAATGCATAAAAGTCGGCCTTGTAGCTAGTACCAGCGAAGTTCTCTGCATTAACAGCAGAATTACGCGTTGTAAAAATTCTTGAAAGAGAACTTAACACAAAAGCAAAAAAGTACAGTCACTTTGAACTAAAAGAAATGATTGTTCTAAAGGAAAATAAATTTCCATTGCTGGTTTAAACTTGAAATAGACTTTTCTTTAATAATTATTATAAATCATTATTTCCTCAAATAAACGCTGCACCGTAGACGCGGCGTCTATTTGGGGGCGGCGTCTGTTAATATTTTGAGTCTCAAGTGCGGCATCTATTTGAGGGCGGCGTCTACTCGAGTAAATACGGGAGTGTTTAAATCACTTCAATAGAGAGGAGAAGTCACTACGTCACGTTGCCGTTGTAGCAAAATTTCTGGATGACAACAAACCGAAAACGTCATTTAAAAAGAGAATTCGCGCTGTTTCTAACTCTGTCGATCTTATCAAATTTCATTTAATTTGCCAAATGTTGGCTAAATTTTCTGGGGTTGAATCCAAAAGGACAGTAAATAAGTTAGAAAACAAAAAAGCAACTTTTTGTGTTTTGTTTCATGTCGCAGTCGTGGAACCTTGGCTAAGAAATCTTCAAAAATGATGTTGCTTTGCTAATATAAACCTATTGCTTTTTTGTCGTTTTCGTTGCCGTTGCCGTGATCGTCGTTGCTGAAGCTCCCCATTGTTGGGATCCAGAAATTTTGTTACCATGGTAACGTGACGTCACACTTCTCCACTTTATATATCGCCATATGAGTATAATCAGTTGGTCACCATAACAGTACCGTAGCCATTAGTATTAGTTATTAAGTGTCGAAATCAGTCGAAACTCCTAATGAATTACACGAACAAACAGTATTTCTCGTCGCTATTTCAACAAACTCCGTCAGCGACTGAATTGGATTAACCTTCCCAAAAGATTGTGCTTGACAACTTTTAGCGTTTGAAAAAGCTTACTTTTTATTAATGGGAGCTTCAAGCAATTTTCCACGTTCAAAGGTGTTACATATGGAGGGAATCCCTAGTAAGTGTTTCTTTTGAGTAATGTGCAGCATTTTAAGAGGAAAATTTTTAACATTTTCGTGGCAAAAGATTCCCTGACTGGAAAGATGAAGCCATATTTTACACTTTTCCATGAACAGGGTTAACACCGTTGATGATTTACAAAACGTGATTGACTATTTGAAGTAGCCGAGATGTAGGACGAACTATTGAATACCCATAAACTTTTCTGAAAACGGCTTAAGTTTGAAGGCATGGCTGACAGACTCACCACAACTCCCATCCGACTGTACCCCCATCCTCTCCCCTCCCTCCCCTCCACTCCCCCTATCATTTTATTCGTAATGTCACCAGGCCAACTTACACTTTGACTATATAAAATATAGCTCCCATGGAGACTACAATCACTACTGCACAACAGCCGATTGCCACTGAGACAAGAGTAATGATGGTTTTTGTCTTGGAATCGTCATCTGAAACGTCAGAAAAAAACATTGGTAAAGGTTAAGTCCCCAGAAAAAACCGCCCTCAGGCACAGGCAACCCAGCAACCATAGGTGCGACGCCAGCTACTGGATTCCGGATTCCAATCGTTAGAGGAATTCCGGATTCCTTGAGCTGCATTCCGGAATCCAAAAACCCAGGATTCTGGATTCCCTTACGTTTTCTTAAATTCAGTTTATTATGACAAAAGCCCAAACATAAGTTTTTTACATACTTGCAGCTCTCTGTCCTTGTTGCTGCAGTATCACCTATAGGAGCTAAAAACAACAACAACAAAATAATGAGGAAAAAAACAAAATTTAGAAAAATGCACTCAGTTCGTTATAAACCGAAAGCATACTATCGGGGCAAGCCATACGTTATCTACATGGCGGCACGCGGGTCATTATGAGTTATGAATATGAGTATTCATTAAGAGGTTCCCTTTTCATTTTTTAAAGTTTATCACTACCCATCATCGTCATCATCGTCATCATCAGCATTGTCATTATAATTATCATTTTATTTTTCATTATCATCATCATCGGCATCAGTATCATCGTCATTATCATCACCATTTTCATTAGCATTACCATTAGCATTATCATTATTATTATCATTATCGTTGTCATTGTCGTGATTATTATCATTAGCATTAGCATTAGCATTATCATTTTCATTATCATTTTTATTATCATTGTCATTATGATTACCATTATCATTGTAATTATCATTGTCATTGTCATTGTCATTGTCATTGCCATTGTCATTGTCATTGCCATTGTCATCATCATTATCATTATCATTGATATTATCATTGTCATTATGATTACCATTATCGTTGTCATTATTATTATCATTATCATTATCATTGTCATTATCATTATCGTCATCTTTATTATTGTTTTCATCATTATCATTTTCATTATCATTGTCATTATTATTATCATTATCATTATCATTATCGTCGTCATTGTCATTATCATTATCATTATCATTGTCATTATTATTATCATTACCATCATCATTATCGTTTTCATCATCATTATCATTATCGTTATCTTTATCATTGTTTTCATCATTTTCATTGTCATTATTATCATCATTATCATTATCATTGTCGTTGTCATTACCATGATCATTATCGTTTTCCTTATCATTATCATTATCAATATCGTTTTCATTATCATTATCATTATCGTTATCTTTATCATTGTTTTCATCATTGTCATTGTCATTATTATCATCATTATCATTATCATTGTCGTTGTCATTACCATGATCATTATCGTTTTCCTTATCATTATCATTATCAATATCGTTTTCATTATCATTATCATTATCGTTATCTTTATCATTTTTTTCATCATTATTATTGTCATTATCATTATCATTATCATTATTCGTTTTCATTATCATTATCATTATCGTCATCTTTATCATTGTTTTCATCATTATCATTTTCATTATTATTATTTTCTTTATCTCTATCACAAATGCGTCAGTTGCCTGCCTGCAGACGTATCCTATTTCCTTTGTTGCACACGGAAAAGGGATGTCTGCTTAACGCAGTCGCCAATCGTGTTCCTGCTCCCGCTGGCAGGGTATTCTATTTCTCATAAATTGTGAAATAATATCCGGTTAGAAATAAGAGTTGACAGGCTAAACACAACATCATAAGCTCGTGATAATGAGAAACGTGACCTTGAGAGTCTGCT